AAAAAAAAAAAAACAATTCGAGTAAATGGACAAGTTTCAACTTGATTTTTAAGAATTTTTTCGCTGAGGCTGTTGCGAACTTTCCTTCATATAAAAAAAGATTGCGCTCATACTTGATACTTGCATTTTATTATATTAAAATTTAATGGGTTACTCAAATATTTTCTTAAAAATCCAATTGAAAAGTTAAAACTTTGACATCACAAATTAGATGCAAAAGCTTAATTCCACACTTAACAAAAATGAAAACGCCAAATATTTTTTTAAGCTGTTCTCCAATCAGTCAACATTAGAATGGGAATGGCAAGAATTTATCTACAATAGAATCACAAATAAAATAAAAGCGATTTTAAAGGCACCCTCTTGCAGTTAAGGTCCTGAAAATTGACCGCCGGAAATTTTCACATTCGAGTCTCAGTTTGTTTTCAACCAAACAGCTCCACCCGCAATGCGATTCCATCTACCAAATCATTTCGTACTGCTGCCGAAGACGTCGTTTCCTGGTATGACAAAATTGTTCCCTACGGCGCCATGTCTAAATTTGGCTTCTCACAGGATTTATGCAGCTATGTATCTCTACTGACTGACGTTCAAATTGGGAAGAACCACTTTACAGCTATTCGAGACCAAACGAGCTTTTAGAAAAAGCAACACACTTTCGTGCGACTTTTTTTTAATCTGAAGTGAGTCCCCCAGTTCTGTATACAGCGTAAAACTTTGTCGCAACAAAAAAAAAACTTAGTAAACAAATGCTCAACAATGTCAATGCTATTAAGTAAATAAAGATATAAACGCACATAGATAAATCGCATGCAGTAGATATGTAACGGGTGATTTTTTTGAGGTTAGGATTTTCATGCATTAGTATTTGACAGATCACGTGGGATTTCAGACATGGTGTCAAAGAGAAAGATGCTCAGTATGCTTTGACATTTCATCATGAATAGACTTACTAACGAGCAACGCTTGCAAATCATTGAATTTTATTACCAAAATCAGTGTTCGGTTCGAAATGTGTTTTTATCGACAAATTTTGTTCAGCGATGAGGCTCATTTCTGGTTGAATGGCTTCGTAAATAAGCAAAATTGCCGCATTTGGAGTGAAGAGCAACCAGAAGCCGTTCAAGAACTGCCCATGCATCCCGAAAAATGCACTGTTTGGTGTGGTTTGTACGCTGGTGGAATCATTGGACCGTATTTTTTCAAAGATGCTGTTGGACGCAACGTTACGGTGAATGGCGATCGCTATCGTTCGATGCTAACAAACTTTTTGTTGCCAAAAATGGAAGAACTGAACTTGGTTGACATGTGGTTTCAACAAGATGGCGCTACATGCCACACAGCTCGCGATTCTATGGCCATTTTGAGGGAAAACTTCGGAGAACAATTCATCTCAAGAAATGGACCGGTAAGTTGGCCACCAAGATCATGCGATTTGACGCCTTTAGACTATTTTTTGTGGGGCTACGTCAAGTCTAAAGTCTACAGAAATAAGCCAGCAACTATTCCAGCTTTGGAAGACAACATTTCCGAAGAAATTCGGGCTATTCCGGCCGAAATGCTCGAAAAAGTTGCCCAAAATTGGACTTTCCGAATGGACCAC